TTCCATCAATGGCGAGCGATATCGTGAGATGTTGCAGTATTTTTTTTGGTCGGAAATTGAAGATATGGACTTATCCGACATGTGGTTTCAACAAGACGGCGACAGACCACACACAACACCTGAAACATTAGCGGTAATCGAAGAACGTTTTCCAAATCGCATCATTTCTCAAAAAGCCGAAGTGGAATGGCCGCCTCGTTCGTGCGATTTAACGCCATTGGACTATTTTCTTTGGGGCTACGTCAAGGATAAAGTCTATGCCAACAAACCAAGCACCATTGCCGAGCTGAAAATTGAAATCAGACGTGTCATAGCCACCGTAAATGTGCCATTACTCGAATCTGTAATTAAAAATTTGGGCAAGCGGCTGAAGGTCTGTGAAAAGAGCCGTGGTGGACATTTGCACGATATTCTTTTTCATACATAAATGGTAAAGACCAAACTACAACATACAATAAAGATTTGGAAAATTGGAAACTATTTTCATTGTTTTTTTTATAATTACTTTTTTGCGTTGCTATTGGGACACCCTTTAGTAAAAAATGTCCAGCAGCACGTGGCAAGAACACATTAGTGACTATGTAGAATTAGTGTATGAGTGAAAACTATGATTGTGAGCTTGCCAAATACGAAGGAAAAAATGGTGAAACCATTTGGTATATGACACTTGAAATATTGGTGTTCCCCAATTCGAGATATGTCGATTGCGTGGGTTCATCCCCCTTGTAGTTTCGCTCAATTACAAAGAAATAATGCTTCACTATGTTTGGCAGATAAGCGTGAAAAGAAGTTGATACGGTTTGCATTTATAAAATACATTTTAATCTTTTTCAATCAATGCAATGGCAACACGGTATTGTCAGGTATCATATACGGCAAATCGAAATGGCGTCGAAAATATTGAGCCGTGCCAGGATGATTGGAGAATTAAAAGGAGTTATACGGATATTTGTTATGCCGCGCTCACTTTTATGGTTTTCCTCATCACCTATGTCTCTTTCTATCTCGTTTATTTTCTTTTTCATTCAATTCTCGTTTCTTTTCCCTAACACACATCAATTCACCGCCATTTAAATTATTTTAATAGCGTGATTAGTTAGATAGAAGAGAATACGATTAAATTGTTTGATTTTTTTTTTGGCCAATTTGGCTTTCCGTTATTATTGAGAAGGGCAAAAAACAACAAAGAATTTCCAATGGAAATTTAGATTGTGGTAAAAGAAGAATGCACGTTTTTGGCTCCCGGTGCATTACTAGACAAGGAAAATCACGAAAAAAATGTCCAAAAAACCAAGGGAAACCCTTGAATTTCGACTTAAACAAGACTATGTACCAACTTTCAAATCAATATTAACAGTGGTTGAATCTTGGGTCAAAATGAGTTACAGAAATTTTTCGATTGATTTTAAGAATACAGCCTAAAAAATTTGCCTCAGTTTTTCTTCGGTTTTGATAATTTGTGTTTGATGATTTTTCATCAATTTAGTTTTCAAACCAAAAATCACACGCATGAATCGATAAATTTACGTTCGGATATCATAGGCTTTGTACGAGAATAAAAAAATTGGGCATCTTCGTTAACTCAGAAGACACATACACATCAACCATTTTATTTTTGTGTTTCTTTTTCTTCAAAACAAAGGAAAATGAATGAATAATCGAATGCAAAGCATCAACAAAGTTATATATCAATTTAAAAAGAAAATGAAAATGAAAACCATATTGAAAACAGAAAACATTGTAAATCTTAGTACATAAATGTTTTATTACATGAAGAACAGAAATAAATGAAAATAAATGTGAAAAAATGAATAAAGAACACCGAAAGTCGCTACTGAAGGAATTGAACTACGCATTTATATTGTAAGGGAGAGTTCACTCGATTGCGTCCTTCTTTACTTTAAAAATTGATAAAAAAAGGCGATTTGGATTCTTTTAAAAATATTTAATTGATTTTGGCAATTGGTATAAAAGTAAAATTTTGAGTCTGGTTACTACAAGATATGATTTTTAAAATCTTTTCAACAGAAAAAAAAAATGATATTTGGTGAATGCTTAAAGGAAATCTTTGCGGGTAATCACACCTCTTACATCATTCTTCTTATCGACCACAACCAAGTGTCGCAGACCCAACGCACGGAATATCTCGAAGATTTTCGAAACGGATGCATTTTCCATGGCACTGTTCACCGAACGGTTCATGAATATCTTCAAGTTGATCGAATACTTCAGATCTTTTGACGAGATTGGAACGATCTATATAAGGGATAGAACCGAAAATTGATTAGATTGAGGAAAATTGCTGTAAATCTGTTTGTTTTTGACATACTTCAATCGATGGATAGCGTGGATATTCGTTGCGGAATGTTTCGATCGAAATATCGGGCATCCATTGTCGTTCTCGCTCAACAAAGTATTGGTGGCGAATGATGACGACCAATTGAGAGCGCAGAATAAGACCACACAAGTGACCCGGTGTGCCGTCATCATCGATACGATCGACGACTGGGAATCCATTGTGAGGGTATTTCTTCAGAATTTCGACGATTCGAGACACTTTATCATGTAACTGAATGCAAATCGGTGGCGATGACATAATATGCATCGCTTTGAGACAGCGATATGGCCGCTTAACACGCCAGCCCAGCATCGGAACCTGTAAACATTTTAATATGTAATCAAATGAATGAACACTTATGGCTCAGAAAACCGTGATTATAAATTGCTTTCGAAGAAAAGGGAATGAAGTTTATCTGATAAACACGCGCTACGATAAACAAAGCGATTGTTCGAATATGCATTTGCATTGTATCGCATCGCATATCATGAAATGTGAATGAATTGAAAATTACCTCTGAAACGGCAATTTGTGTGTCATAAATTCCTTCAGTGAACAGATCGCCAGTCCATTTGGCACAGATGAATGTTACAATGAGTGGCAGAGCAAAGGAAACATTACCGGTTGTTTCGATCAATATGGCCGTCAAGCTGAGTGTCATTCTCATGACACCTCCTAATTGGGCTGCTGCACCGATCAATGCGTATTTACTTGGTTGAATGAATCCCTATCCAGGGAAAAAAGTAAAGTGCTTTTTAGTTTTGGTTTTAAAAAGGCAGATCTGATATGAACTTACCGCATATGGGAACGTATACGATAAAAGTGTCGAAGTCACTCGTCCCCAAGCGGCACCGACCAGCAATGTCGGAATAAAAATGCCCAAAGACACGCTCAATCCATATGTTATGCACGACAATGGATAGTAAACCAAAACGAAAACACACAGTGTTAGTAGCTGATGTGAAGCGGGTGGATCATGGAATAATGCCTTCACCGATGCTTCGGGTGTTTGAAACCATAGTGCGGCGACTGCATTATATTCATTGTCTTCGCAAAACAGTTGGACCGGATGCAAGGTCGGATCTACACCAAGCGGGCGACAATCATTGATTGAAAACATCATGAGGCATGCAATCGTTGCAGTCAAGACAGCAACCAACACGGCTTCGCTGACTTTTGCCCATTTGTCTTTGATGAATCTGAATGAGTTACATTGAAGTTTTATCATTTTCGAATTGTTTGTCAATAAAACTACTCCAATTACAATACCTGGATCTGAAAATGTTGATTTTCGTATTGACATAAACCCAGAGTGCGCCGAGAAGGCCACCAACACATCCCATCAACATGAATATTGGAATTTCATAGTAGGAGTATGGCAACGCCTCGAATTGACCCAAATTGAACAAACCGGGATATGCGAATGTTTTCAAACCGTGATACAAACTAAGTACTAAATTCAATGTGAATGAACTGATGATTGAGGCGATCAGTGTTCGCAGAATCAGATTCGGATTGAAAAAACTGGCCGCTTCTTCGAGTGCAAAAAGTACGCCGCCAATCGGTGCACCGAAAGCGGCAGCTACACCGGCCGATGCACCACCAACAACAAAGTCACGTTTCTCATGGTCATCGCGAAAGTAGCGTAAAATCCCGAAATCTCGTCGAAACGTTGTACTTTTTCCTTGGCTAATTCCAGCTGCAACCACACTGCCGGCCTGAAATCGGACATAAAATCATTCAAATTGATGGTAAAACAGAAAGAAAGGAAGATAATACTGTTGCTTACATGAATCATTGGTCCTTCTTTGCCTCCAGCCAACGAGCCAACAACAGATGTTATCACTCCCACCACTTTGACAACCAACGTTTTAACTCGAACGACTCGCGGCACTTTCACGCCATTTAGATAACATTTCACCATTGGTACACCTGAACCGGAAGCCACGGGCTACAACGATTTTACGAATAATCCATTAAATATTGATTTTTTGACAGCAAAAAAAAATGTTTCATTTACCTCAATATATGCTATCAAAATGGAACCAAATGCAACCGGTACTGCATTGAGCAGCGCATAATACACATAAGGCACATACAAATCACCGTAAACAACATTGTGATCGACAACTGAAACAAACGCAAACAAAATTGTGAGTGAAAATGTTCTGAAATGTGAAAAATATTTCAAGAAATGCTTACCATTTTTCAAAAAACTGTACTTTAAAATCGATAGCTGATCAATCACAATATCGGCAAAGCATGCAATTAACGCCGTAAAAATACCTACAAAAAAATCTATTGTTAGACACAAATAATTTGAATAAAATCGAATTGAGTGTTTACCAATTAAAATAAACAAAACCCAGCGCGCAACATCTTTGTGCGAACCAGAGTTGAAGTCACGAAACTTTGTGTCATTCTGATGCAATTCGTTATCGCATATTTCATAGTCCAAACTCTGCAAAGATTTCAATTCATAAATATTATTTATTGATGATTAATCTATAGATTTATATAGAATGCACTTACTTCGTATTTTGAATAGCATTTTTGTTTAATTTGCCGAAATGACGGCGTTAATCCGTCATGAACGAGCGGTTCTCGCATATTTTCGCCATTGTCCTACAAGTATCAAATACATTGTCATTAATCAAGTCAATTTTTGGCTTACAAAAAGAAAACCATTTTACCGAATCACTGATACAAGCATCATCATCACTGCTAGAGCTAATCGAACCGCTGACTGTTCTCATTGTTGTTGTTTCCATTACTTTTTTGTTAAAACCGTTTAAAAGAAATACGCCGAGTTGCACTATGCACGTGAATAATTATTCATTTTAGAACCCAGTGTATTCATTTTAGAACCCAGTCTAATCACATAAAAACATGCAACTCAGTGTCGAATTGCAAGCGCAACAAGATGAAAGAACAAAACTGAATATTCTGAAATCAGCGACAAAAATTGGCGTTGACAACTAAACGACACACTTAATTTAATACATAGACAAACTAAAACTGTTGATTTTATCGTATTATTTACATTTGCACTGACATAAACAAAGTCAATTCTTGCGAAACTCTTTCAGTGACTCATTTTCCGCCGTTTGAGACGTTCTTGTTTTCTCAGTGACGATGACAGATGTGTGTGTGTGTGTGTGTGTCGATTTGATTTTTTTTCTCTCTTGCATGTGTGTGGTGAATCTTCATGACTTGTTTTTCTATCTGTCGCTTCTAGTTAAATGAAATGCGTGCGACACAGAGATTGTGTGGTGTGATACAATGCAGCAATAGTTTATGTATGGAATTTGATGAGATTGTTGTTGTTCTGACTGAAATTCGCCACAAAATCGAAAACTAATGCGTAGATTAAAATGATCTAAAAATAGGCCGTTTCATGTTCATATCTCGTTGGATTGGTCGAACGGTCCATTGGATAGCATTTATTCCAACTAATCGTTGCTTTTTTTCTCTTATTGTCATTTGTAGTTTTCGCCGTTGAATTCAAACAGTTGAGTGTGGCGCCAGTGTCGCACACGCAGCATTTTCGCTCTTATCAATTTCATACGAAGCTAATGGTGCAGCGGAATTTTGGCATAATAAATTCTTTCGTTTTTTTTTCGCTCAAATTCAAAATCAGAGCTAATGCATGATAGTAAATGAAATTTGAAATGATTAGATCATGCTGAATGGCCATTTAAGTAACATTACTACAGTAAGATCGACAACTATACATAAAAGTCTAAATGAAAAAAAAATCGTTTTAATAAACGTATTTTCTTTAGGGTTTATCATCGAAAGCTCATATTATTTCAAAGAAAAAACATTATCATCCAATTTTACTCTCATCTCAAGCCAATGTGATAATGTTTGTTCATGTGTTTACTTGAAGATTTGAAATTTGGTTTAAAGGAGCGGTTGAAATAATTAGCGTCGCATGTGTATTGGTTCACAACCAATACACTTGCACACATGATTTACGCATTAATATGCGGCCCAAATGACTCAGTGATGCATCGTAACACTAACACATGTGTGAAACTCAGAGCTAAAGACACCAACTGGCATTCAATGCTCTAATATGTGTTAGTGTGGTGAATATTTGATGTGTCAACAGGTTATTTTGGAATGTTCGTCGTTTTCGGAACAATATCATCAAATTGAATTTCCATTTTATCAATTCAAGTCAATCTCAATCCAATCCATAAAATCCTTAATAAACTCTGTAACAATTACGAACGAACCGAACTTCTTTCAACAAAATCAACCTGTCTGAAGTAGAATTTTAAAATGTGAAATTGTCAATGTGAACGAGCCATAACCATAATTGGATTGTTGTTTTTAGAGTCGGTTACACAGCAACGAATTGTGAATACGCACACAAAGCAACAAAGCAACAAAGCCATAGGCTTTGATCACATACACCTGGCTGATTTGTTACAACATTTCTTCACAATTTGTTATTCATCCACATAGCTGCACGGCAAGGGTGTGGTGATATTAATTGAAACACTTTTGCTTCAGTGACATATACTCGCTGGTCGGTCTCTCGTAATTTGTGTGTTGTGCTCGCGTCCATTATAAATTGTTTTCTTGTTTTAGTCAAATTAAAAACAAAAACAAAAGCAAAACATTGTTTTGATATTCCCAATTTTATTGTTGATATTTTTTTTCACAAACAAAAGTGCTGTGAATTTTAAGAGTCAACCTAATTTAGATTGTTTCATCAGACGAAGAAATTGAGCAAATAATTGTCGAACAAAATGTGGAAAATTTGTGTGTTTATTGCGTTACTGCCCATTTTGTGCTATGCACAAAGAACACCATCGATTTCGTATATTACACAAGAGCAAATTAAAGATATTGGTGGTACCGTTGAATTGGATTGTTCCGTTCAATATGCACAGGAGTATACGGTTTTATGGGTGAAAAATATCCGTGAACGTGGTGATCCAGTCTTTTTGTCCACGGGGAGCTCATTGGTCATTCGCGATTCACGTTTCGCCCTTCGTTATGTTCCATCCTCATCCACCTACACGCTTCAGATTAAAGATATTCAAGAGACCGATGCTGGAACCTATCAGTGCCAAGTCATTTTGTCGGTCAACAATAAAATTTCGGCCGATGTGGATTTGTCGGTGCGTCGACCACCAGTCATTTCGGACAATTCGACACAATCGCTCGTCGTCTCGGAGGGTAAACCAGTGCAAATGGAATGCTACGCCGGTGGATATCCACATCCAACGATCACATGGCGTCGTGAAAACAATGCCATCTTACCCACTGGTATGTATTCTCCCAGAAAAAAAACACATTTTTCAATTTCCAACTAAATCATACATGAAACTCTGGTTGTTTGAACGAGAAAAAAAAGTTGAACTTAGCTACTAACGGCAATGGAAAAGTACAAAATATTTTGGCCGTGGAACAAGAGTTTCATATGATGAAGATTTTTATCTGCAAAGCATACGTTTTAATATTATAAAAGAGTTTCCAAGAATATTCTGAATGCATATGCTCAACTATGATGTATAAAAAGCAAAGGTCAAACACGGCTGCTTTAAGCAGAAAATCACATTTAGAAAAAATGAAACTTGTTTTAAGAAAAGTAAAACGATACAACGAGAACAAACAATATCGCAAAGAGGAACTCATAGTAATTGGGCAAGTACAACAGAAGTTGCGTTCATGCAAGGCGAAGAAAGAAGACGAGCACATCATATCGGAATCTCGTTTTATTTGTTCGCTTAGAATTCAGTTTAAAATAAGTCTGTCAGACAATGCAGATCATTATCTTACCTGTTCATTCGTTCGTTCGTTAGACTGTGGAACAGCAAATTGCAATAACTCTATTATGCAGAACAACAACAACATCAACGAGCGAACATTTGGAGAGCAAATATATCGTTGCGTTTATTTTATTCTCAGTTCATCCTCTTACTTTGCCTCCTTTTATTCTTTAGCCAATTGTTCTTTTTTTCTATTTAAAGGCGTCGTTCATATTTTTTTTCCCTCTCCGCATATGGTGCAGTGCAAGAAAGGCAGTGCTATTGCACATTACTTCATTCCAACAATGGTAAATGCATTAGGCATCAGTTGCTGAAAGTGCTAAAATTAACAAAAAAAAGGAAACACAAATATTCAAAAAAAAACTCATGCAATTTTTACCTGACGAACCTAAACCCAATTAGATGTTTTTTTTTGTTCAAATTTCAAAATGAAATACATTTCGAAACATGTGGCACACGCTTCACATCAAATCAAACGGAATACATTTCATGGGTAACGCAGCAAATTTTTAAAGATTCATTTCGATATAAATGAATTGGTTTTCATTGTTGAACGCTGGATGCGGAACTATTGTCTGAATCGAATGGGCGCCTAGTGTCGTTTCTAGTGCATTTCAATGTGCGTTCTGCTTAATTGATTATTTGAACTTGAACTGGGTGGTTCATTATGTGCTGTCACATCTGCCTAATGCATTTTAGTAATTCATATTAAAAACGTCACATTTGTTGAACTTCATCTTTTCAACAAATTTATTCTTTTTTCCTTCGCTTGATCATCGATCTAATTTTAGAATTGTGTGTATGAATCATTTTACGCATCAAAATAATTCCGAATTTTTAATCAATACCTTTAATTGATTTTGGTTTCATTTTTCATTTTCTCTTCAGGTGGTGCAACATACACTGGTTCAATTTTGAAGATTAACTCGGTACGTAAGGAAGATCGTGGCACATACTATTGCGTCGCAGACAACGGTGTTAGCAAAGGAGATCGTCGTAATATCAATTTGGAAGTTGAATTCGCGCCCGTCATCACCGTTCCACGGCCACGGCTTGGACAAGCTCTGCAATATGACATGGATTTGGAGTGCCATATTGAAGCCTATCCTTTGCCAGCCATTGTCTGGCTCAAAGACGATGTACAACTGTCAAACAATCAACATTACAGCATTTCACATTTTGCCACCGCTGACGAATTCACCGACTCAACCATTCGTGTGATCACCATCGAGAAACGACAATACGGCGACTACATTTGCAAGGCCGTCAATAAATTGGGCCAAGCTGAAGCCAAGGTTCATCTGTTCGAAACGGTCATCCCGGTTTGTCCACCGGCTTGTGGCAATGCTCATTATGGTGGCGCCGAATTAATAACACCAACCACAGCCGTTATCCTCTTGGCCACTTTGATAGCCGCTCTCATGAGCTAAACCATCACAACAACAATAACATCAACAACGGCGGAGTCAAACCGATTTGCAACATTCCCATAGCAATGTTTTAATGTTTAGTTTAGATGAAAGTCAAATTTAAAATCTCCGTAAACGTAATCTCGATCAGATATATGATTGGCACACATCTATCGGAATCTCATAGAAATGTTTTGTTTTTAACCGCTAAGAGTCAACACAAAACCCGTCCATTCTTTTCTCTCTGTTAGCTTACTTTATATCCTCACATCACGTTGTCAATGTTAACTCAAATTCGCGGTAGTGGGTAAAACACTTAAATCCATCACAAAAAGAAACAAATGAAAATAACGAAAATGAATCACCGATCATTTTTTTTTTCAATTGATTCAATAATTGCCTTTCTGGTGTGCCTTCTTATTGAAGAATCTATGATAATTATTAAGACCCGAGTATGTAAATGTGGCAACTTTAGAACGACATGAAAAAAAAACGACAATTTTAGAGTTAGTATTGTGACAAATTATATAAATATTTATATATGTTACCGTCCGTTGTGCTGATATTAACATTCTCCATAGGTTGATCAACTACATATACATATGTACCGTAATTTCAAATGGTTTCCGAGTCTAAGATCTGAATCGGTTTTTATTGTACAAGTAATAATTCTTTTTAGAAATTTACAAATTGAAAAGACGAAGCTATGACTTTTTTTTGCAATCAAAATACACTTTTTTTCAGACGTTTTTAATAGATTATAAGCGATTGATTGTAAGAAATTGTATAAAATAAAGGAAAAAAAAACTCGATAGAAATCAAAAGGGAGGATGTGCAATTGGTGTAATATTTTTGTTTCAGATTCTTGGTTTGGTTTCTTACAATAAATGGTGTTCATCATCCTTTCTAAAATCCTATTGGACTCGATGAAATTTCAACACGTCATATGCAACTGTAATCTTTGGAGTAAGGGCAGAATGTAGCACCACGAATTGAAAATATGTCCTGGGATACGAACGACTTATGCTGTTGCAGATCGTGTTCTGTATCATTCTTTTGTTTTATTGCTTGCACTCATTGTTTGAATGAAGCATCGAGCAACGAATATGATGTTACTGCTCTCACTGACGGTCATTTATTGAATTACCAATCGAAGCGGAAAACATAGAAATAGCAAACTTGCATTGTTCCTATTGGAAAGACTTGACGTGTAAGCTTTTTCACCGGAATTCAATAATAAAAACGCAAATCCTTCTTTTCGTTGATATTCCTAATGAACCATTTCAGTCTCGATTGAATGCTGTAATAAATAAAACATCAGGTTTTGTTGGCGTGTTTTTGTTGTTGTTGTTGTTGTTGTACGTTTGCATTTATTTACGTCGTATTTTTTGTATGACATAAAAAGAGTATAATTTATATAAAATTATGAAAAATATTTGAAACATTTACGCAAAACTTAGATGGTAGGTTAAAATTGGAAAACGTCTTTCTTCGTGCCGTTAAACGAGGAAAAACAATTGGTTTAATTGGATTATAAAAATAATATTCATGGCAAAAAAAATACTGTCTAAATTCTATATTCTACTAAATTCAAACTGTTTCGATAAGTTGCTAAAGCTGATGTTTATGTGCTTCGGATACTTAATGAATTTGCGTCAAAAACATTGCATTGTTGTAGCAGAGCTAAAGTGAATTTGGAATATTTCATGAATTAATCTCTGTTGTACGGTGATTTTCTATGTAAATATTCCGTGTATTTATTTTCCTGCAATTTGAAGAGGCACATAAAAGTATTTTTCATTCCATTTGAAGCATTTCTTTAATATTTTTCCAAGAAAAAAAAAAACGTTTTATGACGAGGATTTCGAATTACACCATTGAATTTATTCGAAATCATCTTATCGGTTAATCTATGCGTACAAGAATGGATGCACGAATGAGTGAGCATTTCATAAAATTTTCTCTAAATTTGTTTGTCATATTTTTTTTTTAAGACGAAGCGAACAGTACATCTATTGGCGAGTACAGTGTTTTGTAGGGGGCCAATTCATTCGCAAATTTTCAGAGATGAGGCGAGATGTTTACTCAATTGTCCAATTGATCCTGTAATTTTGTCTACTTGGAGTAAGAAATGAGATTCAATAAAACTGAATTTTCGGTTTCTTTATTTACTTAAACATCAGAAGACAATTATTCCAAATGAAATTTCACTTAGACTTCACCAATAGATATTATGTTGCTATAAAAATTTAATTTTCTTCTACTAAATATATAAATGTCGCATATGTTCAAATCGAGTTTTTGTACTCATTTAATTGTTGAACAATTGTATTTTTCTTAACTTTTTTTTATCATTTGAGTCCTCACGGAATTATTCCCGTCGATACGATCAATTTCAATATATAAAAGAAAGAAGAATTTGTGATTGTGATTGATTTTCATGTACTAAGAACATATTTGTTTTTGATTTTGTGTATTGTTTTTTTATTCTTCTATAAAATTGGAGAAATATTTTCAATTGTTATGATGCATGTTGATGCGAAATATTTTTTTTTTCGTTCCATTATTAAAATTAACCATCACCAACAAATTCTTAGATCGGTGCCACGATTCGATTAGTCAATTTTGAAAAGATTGTTTGGAATTATTCCGTTTAAGAAATCAATTCGATTGAATGGATCTGTTCGGAATAAGTGTCAAACATTCGATTCGAAATGGACCGGCAAGTATTGTGGCACGGGCCAGAGATGGACCTATTTAACTATTTGCAATATTTTAACAGAAAGAAACTAAAAAATAATATGTTTTATATGCGTGATTCCAGGGTAAGAGAAACAAAACAAAAAGAGACGGATTTTTCTACAGGATAAATAAAAACTGACTTGTCTTTTGAAAACTAAGTGAATCTCAAAAGGCAAAGAATATCCGGAAAGTGGATAAAAAAAACGATTTTTATCTGTCCTTCAACCTATAGAGTCTCACAAGAGACCGGACATTTTAGCGGTTAAACGAATAACCGAGCAGGCGTGCACACATACAACTACTACGTACTATACATTCCGTTTCGCTGCAGTCGCCCTCAAGACGTAGTCGAGAGGTGCCCCCAATAGTATGCCGTTTCAGAATGTATTTAACCGAAAATTCGAACGACATTATTCTATCGAATTGTTAGGTTCAATTGAGTGGTCGAGAATAAAAATGACTAAAGTTGAACCACTTATGGATAACCGTAACACAATATTCTTGACTTTTAAAAGTGCAACATAAATTCTGTTCGCTTGTAAGTGAATCGTAAAATATCTGTGGACTATAGAAATCGTGTTTCACTTTAATTGAAGCAAAAATGTTCGATACACTTTCAAGTCCATTGGAATGATGATTCATTGTAATGGTGGTTTTGGTTGTGATTTGGCTTCAGAGTGAAAATTAAGTGATAAGGAGCGCGAATTTCGATGTGCCGATAACACCATTGGATTGGGCACATGAAATACTGTATGAGAATCGAAAAAAAAAATTTAACTTTTTTTTTCGATTTTTGCCTGGTTCCGATCGTCTACATGGGAAGTTTGTATGAAAACCTCGGAGCGCCGGTGTTTTACCCGTATTGTTATACACATCAACAAAGCAGTCTGCTTCACCGTAGAAAAGAAGTGCGCAGTAAGGAAACAAGAACGTACATGTTTTGGCAACGTGGCTTCACTAGTGATTATGAATGAACGTAATGAGAAATGTAGCGAGAAATTACTTTGTTGATGTGTATAACAATACGGGTAAAACACCGGCGCTCCGAGGTTTTCATACAAACTGCCCATGTAGACGATCGGAAACAGGCAAAAATCGAAAAAAAAAAGTTAAATTTTTTTTTTCGATTCTCATACAGTATTTCATGTGCCCAATCCAATGGTGTTATCGGCACATCGAAATTCGCGCTCCTTATCACTTAATTTTCACTCTGAAGCCAAATCACAACCAAAACCACCATTACAATGAATCATCATTCCAATGGTCTTGAAAGTGTATCAAACATTTTTGCTTCAATTAAAGTGAAACACGATTTCTATAGTCCACAGATATTTTACGATTCACTTACAAGCGAACAGAATTTATGTTGCACTTTTAAAAATCAAGAATATTGTGTTACGGTTATCCATAAGTGGTTCAACTTTAGTCGTTTTTATTCTCGACCATTCAAATCAAAATGAAATATTTTCAGTCTTCATATAACTTCTGTATGCCGGTCGATTCTCACGGAATCGAAACGATTTTTTTTTTCTTCGATTTTTTCATGAAATTTTTTGTCCTGGTTTTTCATTGCATTTCTAAATCAATTGTAAAGAAAAACAAATTTTTTTCGTTTTGGAATACGTTAAAAAATCATTTGAAAAAAATATATATTTCAATTCAGTTTGCTATGCGAAACTGAATTCGACGAAGAAGTGTTTTCTTTTTCGTTTTGTTTTGTTGCATTCCAAGCGTGCTCGGTTTGTTTGTTTTTTTCTTTAACGAGATAATAGAACAACATGCGTGTATGAATATAAGAGAGTAAAAACTTAATGTAATTAGCTTTTACTAACTACGTGTACGTATCATGACGTAAAACATCAAAAAAATTAATTAATTTAATCATAAACATTAATATTGCATTTCTTCACAGCAGAATGCGTGTTGGCTCGATCACCCAGATTGAATTTTTTTTCATTTTCGTATCTTGTTATGTGTGTGTGTGTGTTGTATTTTGTGTGAGGAGACAATTCACCGCAAAAGTAATGTATCGTTTGACGATAATTTCAATAGAACGTTTGTTTTTCAAACAAACCAAGTTAAATTGACTCTCATGGGAGATACGGCCGACACTATTTCGTGTGTGCTGTTGTTGTTGTTATTATTATTATTTTTTTTTTTTCGTTTGTTTTTCTTTACTCTGTAAAATAATTCGCTTAGCTACTTATCATTACTACTAATAGTAATCAGTATTTTTTCTGTCGAAAGAACCAAAAAAAAAAATTATTTCTCTTTCATTTCTTCTTTTTTTTCTCGCATCATTTGAAGACTATTTCGCTTTAAAATTAGAGAAGAAAAAAAGTCTATCAATTTAACCAAAATTTCTTAACATTAGGAAATCTCAACTTAAGCTCTAACTGCTCTCATCAAAAATCTGGTTTGCCGATCATTGTCGACAAAATCATTTTGTATATATACTTCCATAAAATATCCTGAATTCAAATATGGCTTTACTTATCCGACAAATAAACAGACAAAACATAAAAATTTTAATTGTACCTTATTGTCTGATGCACTAAATACGTTTGCTATTTCACTTTTTGTTCATTGATCCAAAATCCGTTTAGTGCCGAGAAGAGCATCCGAAACCAAAAAAAAAACACCAACTTTTAAACGTTAATGAAAATTGCGATTGAGGAAATTTCCATAGTGAATTTTAAAATTGATCCATTTTGTTTCGTAGTTTTTTTTTTCTTCTTCTCTCATTTGTTTCATGTTCAGGTACACTTAAATATCAATCATGCAAAATGCTCTATCGTTAGCCTAACTAAATTTTAGAAAATACGATTTTTTTCCCTTTTGTTTCCAAACCGATTCTGCATTTTGTTTGTTCAATATTATCATTGTTCATGTATGGCAATTGGAATTGTTCAATTGGCTCTTTTTGTTTTGTGTCGTTATTTCATTTACTGTGACTGATATTCGGGCGACTGATGACCAGTAAATTGTAACTACTACACACAAAATACTGGTTAATGATAAAACGAAAAGAGCAAAATATGATATGACTGAACATTCGAATGAACATTCATTTGAAATCGTCGACCGTTTTCGTTCAATAAACAATTAGCACAAATCATATTTGCACATGCGTATGCGTTTGTGTTTGGAATCTAATTGTATTAAATGTTACATTTATTGGATTTTGCTGTCATTTGAATATGTTCATTTCCATCTGTGGTGGCTATATGTTGGGCACTCTTTATTATTTCGTACATTCTACTCGAATATTAAATTCTCCTCGATAAACCATTGATTGATATTCGTTCGTTTTTTTTTGTTCTTTTTATTTGTTAGCAAATTGAGCAAGAATTCCAGATTATATGTGCCATAGTGTTTTCTCTTTGAGATCTTTTTGTTTAACCTAGAACCTTATGTTCTGATCTTCATTTTGTTTTTGCATCGGTAGCTGTCCTAAATACATGGGTCTATGTAAATATTCTCGTGGAATTGTAGCTGGCAAGATATATTAATATGTATAAATCGACTTTTTTTTGCGTCAGTATATTCATATACTACGTTTACTTTGATCGATTAAAACTCTAAAATAAAATATTTTCAAAAGAACCGTTTTTTTTTCTAAATAAAGTGGACAAAATCAGATCCATGCTTGGAGTTGACTTTTTTTTTGTTTTGTATCAAAATTTTATCCATAGTCTATCGAAAAAAGAGAGCCAAATTTCAAGAGTGTCAATGTCACATTTGAAAATGTGTTGCTTAGCTGAAAAAAAAGCCATTCATCGCTTAAAATCGGCGTTCTTCATCAAAAATCCACCGATAGACATATGAATTCGTAACGTTTATTTGTCTATTCCTACTTTACATACATAAATTTTGAGAAGAAAAAAAAACAACTTCGACAACTATCTAAACCATAATTAAGAGACAATGAACTGATAAAATTTCAAAAATTCAAATATTTGGAATAAAGAAACACATTCAAAAGAGCAAAGAAACAGAAAAAAAATTCAGTTGAAATCAAAAATTTCAAATTGAAATGCCAGTGACTTCAATTGCGTTTTGTATGGATTGTATGATCCATTGTCGTTGTCTTAAATGAATTTTATAAATTCTCAATATCTAAACCTGTTAACGCTTAACATTGTCTAAGTGATAAAAAAAAAGTGTTTCCGTTAAAAAAACAAACATCTTAGTTGTACAAGTAAGTAGATAAAAGAAAGATGGGTTCTGTTTGAATCAACGCGCGCGCAAGTGAAGATCCAATAAAAAAAAAATTTCTGTTGTGTTGGACCCATAACATTTGTTCATTCATGCTCGTTGGTATAAAATCGGCTACTGTATAGTACATTGTCTCTATTATTTGTGACATTTTACTTAATTGAAATGCTTACATTTTACCTAGCTAATTTAACTACATTTAACGACTTGCCGATGCAACGCAAGACTGAACAACTGTTTCAGCATTATGGATGGAATGGTGGCGATGCTTTGATCGGTGCGTGTCCGTGTGTTATGTTTGCTACATTGTTTTTTTTTATCTTCTTCTTCTTGTTTTTCGTACACTTGACTAATTCTAGTCTTCTTTTGTATTCAAATGCCATTTGCAGTATTAATAATAATAAATTGTCATGTTTCGGCATAATATCAACTTTTCTTTCAACTCACAATACGAAAGGAATTCTACGGCTAAAAAAAAATGTGTAAAATCTATTTGATCCAAATTAATTTCAATCTTAATGCGAACCTAATCCGTCTAAGCTACTAAAAATAGACAAATCAAATTGTAGAAATTATTTAAAAAGAAAAATCAATAATAATAATAAGTATTTGTATGATTAAAGTCGCAAAATTCTTGTATTCCATTGTACGGAGTGTATATAAGTTTAAAATGAAAAGGATGTATTTGATGAATCGATGTGGCTGCCCCATTTATGTTTTATTTTTCTCCGGTTGCGATCCATCATTTGAAAATAATGTACAGAAAATCGGTTGAGCTTAGAGATACGAAAATGATGTGGCAAGAATAATAATAAAAAAAAAGAGAGAAGAAAGTAGTGCGGCTGTTGCGGCTCGATGGCTGCTAATCACCGGCATCAATCTTATTTCGCTACAGCATGATCGGATAGTTCAGTAAGTGTGATATCGTATATCGGATCCTCTTCCGCAGTTGCTAATTGTCGAACCTCCAACAAAAAGATGTCTTCGTTGCAATAGTACGACAACATATCGTCATCAATTTTCGCAGTAATCCTAAACCACAAAGAAGAAAAATAATATGAGAGAACAATTAGTTGTTGGCTTTTTTCTTTCTTTCAACGAAATCAAACGCAACAATTTTTAAATCAATATAAAAGGAATTCGGTCTGTTTGACACTCATTTGCTTCGCAAAGGGGAAACACTTTGGAGAGAGAAAAACCGTCATTATACACTGCCATTCAATTGAATTCTGTTCATCGAGACTAGTGCCAATATGCATCAGAAGTGATTCATTTTATTTTCTTTCGAATCAAACCAACTCAATTAGCGTGAAGTCTCAATCAAAATTGGAATAACAAATGAGAAACATGGGAATAGAGAGAGAGAGCGAACGAATGGATAAAAAAGCAGTCACAAAGTTGCAATCCATTTCGAATGATTGAAAAAATTATCATTTTACAATCAAAATTCTAAATTTATCGTAAGCCATGAACACCGTTGGCTATGAATGCGCGGCTCGTGATTTGTGTAGTTTTGTGATGTGGTCAAGTGTGTTCGTGTGTGTTTGTGCACTTGGCACAAAGTGTGGATGTAGTGTGTAGTTTTTTTTTTCAATAGCAAAGCAATGACTTTGTGGCGCGCAGTTGTTTATTACCACTAATAATAACAGTAAACTAGTTGATCGGCGACTATTAGCATACATTATCATTTTAATTGAAATTTTATTGATAACAACATCCACACATCTTTTGCATTGACACTGGTTGGATGCAATGCGAGACACAGGGCGAGATGACGGCGAGAGAGAAAACGAGCACAGCAGCAGCCACCGTCGTCGTTCGTCGAATACAGAAAATCTCTACAATAGCCAATTGCAGTCATAGTGTCATGCATTTGATTGTACATTGCACACGCGGATGAAACGAATCGAATGGAGAACGTGTCGCGTTCACAGTATTGCTGCCATATCATCGTTTATGCAAATTGTGACACCAGTCATCTTGAAACAATAACGCATATTGATCGCTGTTATCCGATTTTTTTTCTCTTTTCTCCCGCACTCGTCGCGCTAATTAGCATTTGATTCGATTTTACTGTAATAGTGGTGTTGTGATCATCGCAATTGAATCGCCTTCACAGCGATTTGTTCCAATTTTTTTCTCGCATGGAAGCATACTGCACACACTGTACAGTGTACATACACACACCGAGACCGATTCGAATCGTTCGTCAATTGTGGCTACATTTCCATCGCCAATATTTACAAAACGCATTTCACACTCACAGATGCGCGGTTACTGTTTTTTTTTTTGTATTTTGTTTTTTTTTTTCGAAGGAGTAACGTTACTGAGAAGTGTTACGGTTAGCGTTAAAAAATATTAGTGAAAAAAAAAAAACATTATTTATATGATTGAATGTGCGTGTAGATGAATTTTATGAATGTCAATAAAACAAATACGTTAAAAATTATTAAATATTGTCATTATCATATGACATTATTAGACAGAAACGATAGAGATAGGGAGAGTATGAAGAAAGTCGAAAACAAACCAAATTTAGTTGTGGCTTTTTTTTGTTTCGACCTCTTGCAATTAGTTAGTTGCTTTCGTTTTTTTTCTTGTGTTTTGTTTTTGGAGTGTGTCTGACTTACCCTTTTCTATTTGTACGGTAAATGTTATTAATACTCGATGTCGATAATTTGTATCTATGTTCGATCTGCAATTAAGATAAACAGAATGAAACAAAACCATGAGCTAAAACCTAATTAGAAGATCGATCAACATTTTCTTTTCATTTCGAATGGAAACAAATTAAGACGCATTTTTCGCAATAAAATATTTCGGCATTTAACAGCAGGCAGCAACAACAAAAATGCATTGTTTTTCGATTAGGGAAAAAATTGTTGGAATTTTATTCTTTGGTGTTGGGCTTTCAAAATTGTGAAAAAAAAAGAGACAATAAAATGAAATGGCTTTCGGAAGGTGTACACACTTCACATTATAACAAAATTTGACTATCATAACTAATTGAAAACGTTTGTTCATCACAATTTTCATTGGATTTTCCCGGTAATACAGAAAAAATGGGTTTTTGCAAATCTATTGGCAAACTTAATTGAAAGAAATGGAACGAAATGAAAATTCCATAGGGAATGTCATTAATTTTTTTATGTCGAACGAAAGACAGACATTATTCCATCACATGTTTTGTGTCATAAATTCGACGATTCATTTCTCAGCGATTCCATCCGATGCATTCAGATGGGAAAAACGCTCAAACTCGGATCGGCACACAGTATTAATTTTAGTAGACAAATTAAAAATTATTAGATGGAGAATTAATTGAATGAACATTGAACAATATTGAAGCGGTACAAATCATAAGTTAATATCGAGCGTGTTGATTAACAGTCTCTGTGTTGTTTTTTTTTATATGGCTTAATTTGAAATTCATTAGAAACGTTTATCCAGACATTTGGCGAATGGAAATTACGACAAAAAAAAGTAATAATAATATAGAGAATAACAATTAAGTATGATGTGTATGTTAATGAGAATATAGTTATTAATTACACCCATGCAGCAGCAGCAACAACAACAACAACAGCAACAACCAAAACAATGTTCAGCGAAATAATAACAATAATTTGTGCATTTTGTGCTCGAATGTGCGTGTGTATGTATGTGTGTGTAACGTCTGTGTGTGTTTTTGTCATGTTTCACTAGATTTTCGAAAGCCAAATGATTTCCCTAATTGCAATTCTTCGGTGTTGAATGTTGCTAAACAATGGTTGGTTGCTTTGGTGATGTTTTTATCTATGTTGTTTTGTTTATCTTTTGCACTTAGGCACTTTTACCCATTCGAAAATGATCGCAATTAATCGATTTCCAAACCAAAAGCTGCTCAAAATGTTGCAAAAGAAAAACAAAATTTGTTCTGAAGTTGCTTTTTTTGCATTGATATTCCATCCGAAAATTGATCTTTTTGTTTCCAATTCAAAGAAGAAGAAAAAAAACATTAAAAATGAAATGTAGAGCATTTTTTTGTTTCTCTCTCAATAATTTGTAATTAAATCAGTTTTTTGTGTGAATTTTTTCTTTTCTTCTTGGCTGCCGGTCTGTTCTGTTTGACTGACTTGATTGCAAAATTAATGTTTTGTCTTTTGTTTAATTTGTTGGTTTGTTTGCATTAGAAATTAGTTACAGTGATGTGTTTGGTTGATGATTTATGGTAATTTTTGGTTATATCAATTAGATTAGCTGGTATAAAACACTCATGTCCCGAACATCAGAGCAGGGACTTGAGACAAACAAATAACCACAATAACAACAACAACAAAAACGATTGCTTAACATTAGAGACATGATTTGATTTAATTGAAATTATTGAGTAGAAAATGTCATTTGTTGAATTCTTGATGTGATTTATGATCGAATACAAATGTTGCACTTACCGCAGTCAATAGGCCAATGGTTGTTGGTGGCACGACATGCAATGGCGTGTATACATCATCTTTGTCTTGTCGCACATAGAGCATAACGCGTTCATTTAATGGCGGCGTCATTCGCTGTCTCTTGATTACGGGCTGGCCAAACTCATTCACACTTTGAACCATTGATTGTTCCAGAATGTGATCCTTTTTCTCCGTGCTGCGAACATGGAAACAGAAGAGCAAAAAGAAAATCATTTCAATTAGATAAGAAATTTTCCGAAAAGAAAGAGTATTCGAAAATTGATTTAAAAAAAATGAATAGTAAAAAGTTGTCCAGCTTCGATTTTTACTCACGTCGGCACATCCGGTGGGAAGTGGTTGTGAAATTTCAGAGTTGGTGTGGTTGGTTTTTGTGATGCATGCAACAAGAATGGTGATGTTCCCTTTACTTCGCCATTACTATTGATTTCACCTTCATGCGCATAGAAACTCTGCAAATCCATGCCGGACAATTTCTCAATATCTTCGGATGGTGTGAAGAGAACGGGCGGTTTCGCCACATCTTGCATCGCATAAAATTCAGATCGATCGGTGACTGGATGATAGAGTTCATCGAGCTTCTTGCGACCAGTTGCGGTCATCTTACGTTTGGCGGCACGTCGTTCTTCATCACGTGTTTTACGCTCGGCACCCTGGAACAAAACAATTTTTTTTTTGTTAATATCAAACAAATTACGAAGGAGAAAAATTAAAAGAAAACACTCGACAGACAGAGTGAACGTAAACAAGTGGAAAATATGTGTTCAATTCAAAATAAAATAAAAATTGGCGCAATATTATATATCGATGCGACGAGAAAGCGAACGGCCCAAAGAGGCGAATGAACATGTGGAATTTAAATGGGTATGTGTGTGTATGTGTGTTGAAGATGCGAACGCGTGTGCTTGAAACGTGTAAAGTCGTTAAACAATATGCCAACTTAATTAATAAAAATGAATTCACATCATTTCTTGGCGATAACAAATGGATATCACTTTGATGTCGTTAATGATCTATAAATGGTCGTAATTGGTGTTCGTCCATTTTGGTTTTTTTTATTGTTGTTGTTTTTTTTCACTATCAACTACGGATAAAGTATATAATTGTCTTGTAACGTATTCTGAGTTTCACCATCATCGATATTGTAAATAACATCGTTTGATGTGCTGAATCCCGTTATATCGAGCACTATGCTTTGCGTTCGCAATTTGTTGTCGCTGCAATTTTCATTTCAGTATACACATTATATTCGGTGCATCGGTGTCAAATCATCCGATTTCATATAAAATTAAAATAAGCGTTGACTACATATACGTATTGAATTGAAAGATTCGAACGACCTCGAAATTGAATGAAATCAACAAATTCTCTTCGTCACTTTGAATGAAATGTGTATCTTCTATGTGGTACAATCGACATCACTACCATGTTTCGCGCTGATTCGGCGTGTTCGATTTGTTAGTGTGTGATACTTTGATCACATAAATCGGTGCTGGTTCGAGTGAATTTTACGGGTTGCTTTAGTGCAATTGGTGGTACACACACACACACATATGCGCACATCTTTTCAAAATGATGCTGCTAATTTCTTATCTCGATTACAAGCGAACATAAAATGTGGAAAGCAAACGGGGAAAAAAAGAGCACTTCGAGACACCCACTCGAACTGTTCCTCTACATTATGAAGCGATAAAGATGTGAAAATCATGCCTTAGACAATTTGCCTTCCTCTTCTTCTTTTATTTGATTTTATTTTTCGTTAACGCTTTTGCTCTTCGCGTTTTGCATTTGCTACAAAGCATTGCAGCTACAAATTAAATCGTAAAAACATGAGACATGTTGAAAAATAAAGAGTAAATGAAGCAATTCAAGGCATGCATGTAACGGACGCATTTAATATTCGTACATTTGAGCGTTGTTTCGATAGAAGAGCAATTTTTGAATACACAGTGCTTTTCTGTTGTTGTATATCGTCGTCGTCGTCATCGTCATTGTTGCCCGCGATTCGGCTAGTGTGTATAGAGACGTGATTTCCTTTTCTTCAGTCGGGCGATAATGATAGATAGATAGGTAGAGAGAATCATAGTGTATTGGGAGGGATCGTTTTAGCCGGGCTTAATTAGCAAGTGTTCGATATCGCATCATTCGATATCATTGAATGGACACCAAGATAAATAGCTGATCGCTTGCTAGGTGGTACATGTTTGTTGGCCACAACACGAATTTAATGCGATGTTTCGACTTATCAAACCATTTGATTGCTGAGTCGCTTGTTTCTTCACTTGCCGTTATCCAATGCTTATCGACCTGTTTTCCCATGTCATTTGCTTGCCAGGTGATCATTCACTGTTATCATGTATGTGTTTGTTTTTTTCGTTGTTGTTGTTGTTGTTGTTTTGTTTGGCCATTGCGATAATCGCAATTCATTGATTTGAAATTTTGTTTCGATTTATCGGACGGTCATTTAGATAACACATGACTTTTCCTCCTTGAGACCAAAATCAAGTCGGCCATTTTCCATGGTTCAAACCATCGCAAAGCCCAAAAGAAATGAACAAGTTTTTTTGAAGAAGTGAAGAAAAAAAAACACACCACAACAAATTTCATAAAACAATCATGTGTCAGCTTAGTACGATTACACTCATTTTATACTCTGTTTTTTTTTCTTCTTCTCGTGTGTATGCGTGTGCAGCGAAGAAAAACGTTCAATTCATTCGACAAATATTCACTCATTTCATTCATTCGCTTTGATATAACAAAATACGTTTGTTTCGTTTCGGTCGGTGTTTGTACATATTTTATAGCATTATTCAAGGTAAAAGCTGTCAATTTTGTCGTTCGAATTCTGTGTCTGTGTGTGTCTTCTTTTTTTATTACACATTATATTGTTATTAGCTTCTGCTGAGCAAGTTGCCGCTTTTTTTGTATCTCAGAAAAAAAAATAACACGCATATCTATACACATTTGGAGCGACGCAAAGTGTCTTAAGCCAACCTCAAACCATTTTTGAACGAGAAACAAAGAGAAAAAAAATGACAAACACACATAAACACCACGATAAAGTCGCATATAGGGTTATATTCTTAACATTTCAGTTTGATTGTCGGTCGGTCGGTCGGAGCTATTGAGCATTTTGCATTTCAAGAGCATTGATCAAATAATCGTAACAGTTAAATCGAATAATGTGACCCATACACATTTGAATAATTCGAATCGCTTTTGATGAAACGCTTGATCACATCAACCATCAATTTGGATGGATCAACATCTGAATCACACACACACCCGTCTTTTTAAGGAACTCATAAAATTGTGTGAGGCGACAACAGAATAACTGTTTCAAAAGACAGGCACCAAATAAAAACAAGTGATTTTACGTTAATGCTTTTGGGTTGATCTGAAACTGTAAAGCAATCAACTGAATTTTTACTATCGCACACGATTGTGAATCGAAGTGAATTTTCGATAATTGTCCACATGCCGAAGCAATTGACCATAATTCACCCAGTTACATGCGATTTGATCGCTGTTTTTATGGCATTCGAAAATTCCCCATGGAATTTGTCATGTTGTGTCGTTTGACTCAAAATTCTCATTTGTTTACTGGATGTTTTGTCGCATGAAGCATTCCAGCATCCGCATCTCACATCGATCGACTCATAGCCGATGGACAAGCATTAATTTGCATAAATTTAAGATAGAAAACGAAAATGAATTCGATTTAGCGAAATAAATTAAACGGTTTTGATTCTCTTTCTTTTTTATTTGTTTCTCGGTTGTTGTTTTTTTCTCATTATATTACATTCGGCTGAATGTATTGGAGATTTATGTTTTTGTTTCTCTGTCGTCCACAAAATATGAATAAAAGGATTTGGATTTTTGTACTAAAAAGTGCTTTGTGTGTGTATGTATGTAAGCATGTGTTCGGTCACTAGAAGGTCACATTGACATATATATATATATACATATTTACTCCGTTCATTCTTCAGTCATGTCATTTTGGCGATTCCTTTTATTCTATTGCCATTTTATTGCTTTGATTATTTTTCGGCGAAGGTTTTTTTCCACGTATCGCTTTTTGTCATCTTGACCATAAATAATAAACACATAATTTCCTTATAAATGTGTGTATAATTCATCCGAATAAGCGATTTCAAAAGCGTTTAATTTTTAATTTGTTGATTTTCTTTTTCTGTCGCGTGTGTGTTCAAAGATCCACGTGTTTTGGAAACCAACATCAGCAGCCGCAGCCGCAGCAGCAGTAACAACACCGCGTATTACGTGATTGGCTTTTGGGCGCGCAAATTCCACGAAAACAAAACAAAACACATCAAATATTCGGACAATTTGTAATACTATGTCCGACAAACATTTGAAATTTGTCATAATGATCGCGCCGAGAGGAAAAAAAATCATTGCACCACAAATTTTTATTCTGATTTCATCGCCAAGAATTGAATAATAATAGATGAAAATAACACTTACCTTATCACAAAATACTTTGATTTGACAGTAGCCACGATGGAAGATTTGTGCGTCTCGGTGATCTTCGAATGTGTCAATTTGGATGTGTAATGGTAAACCCTGTGGAAGAGAGAATAAATAGTGATGAAATTTCGTTCAAAACAAGAATCCACACTAATTCTTATGTGCTAAAAGGCTACAATCATTTTGCAAACAAGGTAATCACTGAATCGGCTATTTACACTCCGGCGAATGGCTCTGCGTAGAGAATAGATAAATGCTTCAACAGAAACACTTTACATTGCAATCAAACGGAACGAGCAAATGACAAAAATAAATGTTACAACAAAATAAACGAAATGCGTAGGCTAATCGTAAGACATGAAGAATAAAGAGAAAATAAAACAGCATCCAGACGACATATACACTTAATCGCAACTAGACCATTTACGTGGTTAGCAATTGGCATCATCAATGGATACCTTTTGTCCTCACGCACTTTTATTCAATGCCTTTTCCATTCAATCAGACACTTGAACAGACTTTCTGTTTGGTCTCTCTCTCTCACTCTCTCTCTCGCCCGCTTGGGGTGCATTGATGTTATGTCTCGCCATTCGGACAAATATCGTGTGTTTTTCCGTCATTTTCAGTTCGAAAATGGTCGACTTTAGGATATCTAGTGAACAAATATTAATCTTTGTGTTTTGCAGTATATTCAAATAAAAAACCGAAACATCAGCAGCAACAACAACAACAACAACAAAAAGTGCGTGCGTAATGTAACGAAATGGCAAGGCAATCAGCATATCCGACAGATATATGAGGAGGATGCGTGTCTATTTCATCATGTATTTTGATTGTAATGTGTAACAGCGTAAGGAGAGAGAGATTGTGAAAAACACAGCCATTCATAGTCGTAAATACACGAGTAACAACCACAGCATCCAAACACCTGTCTAATATTCATTCTCTCTCTCTCTCTCTCTCTCTCTCTCTCTCTCTCTCTCTACGTGTTCGGTGTTCAATGTTCATTCATGGATAATCTCTGGTCGTACGACAGGTAACTGTGTGGTTCGAACGAAGTTCAAAATGGTGCGACACAATATCAAACCGACAAATATCCGCAGCGATAATTTTTAATCGCTTTGCCAAGCGACCGAACGATAAATATGTAGAGACCAGAAGAGAGAGAGAGAGAGAGAGAGAGAGAGAAAAAAAGAGTATCAAATACACAACGAATAGACCAATCACACGTGAAAATAAAAAAAAAATCGAAATAATTCGATGGGACGATGTGTTGCGTTCGCTTCTTCTTTCAATGTGAATGGATTTTGATATTCTGTGTGTATCAAATGGGCTCTCATTGGATTGAGTCTGATTTATTAGGCATTTATTTATATGCATCGTTTACAAATATAATACTAGAGTGTGTGTATAAGGCGAGAGAACCTTTTGATCGTTTGCCTGCGCTATAGCACATATATATAAATGTTCGAGCAATTTTTTTGTTTCTCCTCAATTTTTAACTGATTACCAACACTTTGGACATTCCAATCGATACGATTTTACATTATTGTATATGGAATCGGCTGTTGCTGGCCTGGCCTGGCTTTTGGGCATCGTTCTTAAACTCTTCTTTTTTTTCGTTGTTACTCTCTCAGCGTCATTATTCGTGCGTGATTGCTCGATTTATTTATTTATGATTTGATTTTACGCGCTCTTTACATCACTGTCCAATGCGTTTGCTTTAATTAAGCTTCAGCTTTTTTTTCCAACGTTTTTTTCCCTTCCTTTTCGTTTGTTTGATGGTTGTTGCATTTGAATAAATTGGCTTTTAAAAATGTTCAAGCTTGAATTGTTGGTCACCATAGATTTGGTTTATATTTATCTCTATCGCTGTCGATCTCTATTTGTATCTACTCGAATTTCGTAACGAAAATCAGTTTAATTAATTGCCACCATTTTAAAGGGATTCTAGTCATTGCTCAAACTCATGTTTGTTTATTTTTCTCAATGTGTCGATTCAAGTCGTTGCTCAAAGTCAGGTTAATTGAAATTGTCGCTCATTTTTATGGCTTTCTACTGAAGAAAAATGACTCGGACAGAAGAAAAAATCAGGTGATTTCAAGCACGGTTTTCGAACGGACAGAGGAGAGTGAATTACAAGTCTTTTTTTTATGACATTTGCGCTATCCTGTATAAGTGTGTATACGTGTTGCGCGCACGATTTAAATCATTTCATTCAAGTGGTAAAAGATACTTTTACCATTGAATTTACAAACGAAAATGGCCTTAAAAAATGGGCATTCGCAAAGAAAAAGGCTGCGTGTGTGACAATCGTACACATTTTCACGGCGCTCTTTTCTCGTGTTGATATGAGAGCATAATCAAAATCCTGCCCGTGATCACACAAAAAACCACCTCGGCAGAGAGACAGCGAGAAATAAACAGATAAAGTAGAAAAAAAAATCACTTCAATGAAAAAGAAAAAGGAGGCGAAAGGCTTATCGAGCGATCAATGTCTCATTGCGCGCCCAAGATCTTTAAAACCCACAATTTGGTATGTGAATTGGTTGCTTTTCTTCTTCTTCTCTCGATTCGTTGGTATTGTTTGTATTTGTTGGCTGCATTTTGGGATTAATTGAATGGACAAAGAGGTATTGAAATCACTTATGTGAACAACATTCGATTTTCCGTTTGCCTTTGCTTCGTTTCCACATTTATTGATTTTGTGTTTATTTCTTATTTTTGCTTCTTTTTTTTGCTGGTAATTTTGGTGGCCGTTTTGCGTAACCAATTCCGTGAGGCAGCACTGACCGTTTCTCATCATTCTGATACAGATTTAATTGTGCCATATATATTTTTTTGTGCGGGGTATTGAAGCGAGCCGTGTCGTCGTTGTTAGCGCATTTCAAGCAATTGGTAATTAAAAATGGTGTACTGAAATAAATTTTAGAATGCTATTCATCTGCAGCGTTCACTGGTAAAATTGGAAACGTTTTGTGTAACATGGTTTCCGACTGATTAATAAGCTGCGATGAATGAGCGGCGAACGCGCGCACTCACACCGTTCATTACCGAAATAAAACATAACACAGATAAACGTAAGCATTCACATATCAACCGAATTTTAGAGCGAACCAAAAAAAAAAGAACGAGAAAAAAAACTGTCGCAAAAAAATTAATGAGAAACGAAATTAGCTCGACAAGAAGAGGAAAAAAAATGAAATGAAAAAGCATCGAGCGCAAAAGATTGAAAGAGCCGATGTAATTGAAAGGCTTCGCCAATATAGTTGACAATGAATGTGCCACGCAATGATAGTTATGCCACTTGTCGCGGATACGATTAAATTAGCATATAAAAATTAATGGGGCGTACAACGTACATAGTTGCTACACATTAAACGTAAACAGCTCCGTATTTTGTATGTGCAAACATATTTTTTTCTGTTGTTGTTTTTGTTCCGTTCCTCACTTCATCACATGCAATAAAACTTATTTTTGGGTACGCCAATACTTTGTTTCAGTTGGTTGGTGTTCGTTTTCTTGCATATGGCCGTAAGTAAATCGCTTCACAATGATAAGACGGGCAACATTGGGCGAAGCAAGATAAGACAATGCGGACAGTGGTAATGAAGCTAACTGCGTCTTTACGGCTTGAAAGTGACACAGTAATAAAAATGTGCAAGGTAAAGGTTCCAATTGATAAAAAAAAATTCAGCCAAACAGAATCAAGAAACGATCAATTAATGGCCATTTTACGAATTATTATGAGAAATGTGCCCTCTTTTAGTTGCTGTACCTTGCCGACGCGCTCCTTTTCTAGATACATACACAGATCCACCGACCAGATAAACAATATTCGTTGCGATTTCAAATCGCCCATTTGATTGCACTGTGCTCAAACAAATGCACCGATTTTTCTCCGGTCTCTTCGACTAATTTTCCAATTGAATCAATTAATAGATCATAAATAATTCCATTTTATTCTTCTAATTAAGATCTTCTCCTTGTTTTCGTTGCAGACCGCAATTCGTGAGATGGAATCTACATGATCATTTACACCAGTCACCGCCGCCGCCACAGCAGCAGCAGCAGCAGCTAATTTAATTAATTCTATCAAAGAGCCAAATTGTGTACAGTCCGATATAAATGAATGAGTTAAAGTAAAATCATCTAAATTATTAAAATTTGCTCTTAAGAACGGCATAAGCCATAAACAAAAACACATTATATGGGCTGATCGACTGTGAAATGCACTTACAGCATTAACTGCGCAGGGCAGCGAGAGAGCAGGGCGGGCGAGAAAGAGAAAGAGATTCGAAGATTATTCGCGGTTATTTTGGTTTGGCAGTGATTTCATTCAATTTGCGCGCTGTGTTGTTGACAACACAACTCCTCGATTGTGCGACGAATGCCGCACATAAAATTCGAAGAAAAAAAAATTTCATTCGCCACCGATCGAGCAATCGGAATTGGAAATGGAAATGCAACGAGCCGAAAACAAAAATATCAACACGAAAAAAAAAATAAAACACAAAATTCAACTCACCTTTACGCCTTTCTGACTGCTAAAGTCTGTGCTCAAACATTGTACGGCAATGTTTATCTAAAAATGAAATCAAAAATATCAAAAAAAGAAGCAAAAAAAATGAATAAGAAAACATAAATTATATAAATAAATTTCAATATAAAGAAAAAGCAAGCAGAAAAAAAAAATCAAACAAACTCAGTTGAACAATCAAGTGCAACTTTATTGGGAAAAAGTTGATGTCAAGAATCGGAAATTTCGTAAAGTAAACTGCATGTTTGTGACGGAAGAAGACAAAGTAGAGGGAAAAAACATACACACACACACCCATCAGCCAGATCAATTCAAAATCAAATGATAAAGAATTAATTAAATAAAACAATTGGAAAAATTGTCACAATAATCGATAAATTGAGGATAATCGTCAAATAAATTCGTTTCAATAATAATTATAGTCAAACGAACATCGAAATAATAGGTTCAATTGAATTAACTTGCTGAAAAAAAGTGCCCCTCAAACCATCGAATCGCATTTCATTCGTGGACTCTTGCTGGCTTCTAAGTGCACCGTAAATTGTTGAATGTAATCAGTGAGCTTTTGCGGCCAAACGCAGAAGAAAAACAAATGTTATCTGAACTATTGATATGTGTTGCGTTGCTGTACTGTGCTGTGCCGGATGCATCAAAGTTAATCAAAGAATGACGCAGAAAAATGATGATCGCACAACGGTGAGAGACAGATACAGACACGAGAAGACAGTCTTGCGTCCGACACAGCCTCGAACCATTTCTCGGGATAAATAATAACGAACTGTCAATGTGACGTTCACAACAGCGTCTACAACAAACAGTCCACCGATTCACGGTCTATTATCCTATGATTATCATTCGTGTTACCTTTTTTGTTGTTGTTGCTTCGCTACCTTCATGCTGCAATGTGTTCACGGTGCAATGTGCCATAAGGATTGTTTATTATAATTAATTGAAATGTGTTGTATTTTCATATGATTTTGTTCTTGTTACACCTTTTTTTGTCGTACAAGAGAGTCTCGAGTCGACGCAGAAGAAACCACGGCAACAACGATCTCAACAATGTTGCAACATTGTAGCAATCGCTGAAGCCACTAAAACACATTATAAATTAACGCGTCGCAAGCTGTTTCGTATCGATTTGCTCATTTTGCGCGTGCATGCATCTCTTTTCGTATGCAAATGATATGTACATTTACACTTGTTGCAGCGGCGTGTGATTTTTTTTTCATCTCTTTCTTCTCTCTTAATTACACATCGAAATACGTATCGATTCTTTGGTGTTGGGGCTCCACACATCAAATACTATACGATATATTCCATCTATGAAATTGACGCGTTTCCAATCTGAGCCGCTGAGTGTTTGATTCAACTGGAAACACATCAGTTGCAACATCAATCCCGCAATAAATATTAATTTTTATTCATAACTTTGGCGAGTGTGTGTGGTGTGTGCGTGTGTGTGGTGTGTGCGTGTGTGTGTGTGTGTGTATGTTGTGTGCTGATTTTTCTTTTATCAGTGTGTATCTATTCTGTTCGTCGTTCTGCGATTAGATGCAGAGAAGTGAAAAAAAATACATTTACACGTAGTTTGATACTTGGACATTAAATATCGATAGGAATAGGTAAATACAACGGCGCAAAACTAACGTTGACAGTTTATATACGATGTTGTCACCTTATCCGTTGTGCATTTCATATTGCATACCAATTTATGATGCAATGCAATGTATGCAAAATCTTACAGAACAGCTCAAGAAGAGAGCAAAAAAAATGGTGTTCGCCGTTTGTGTGTCTTTTTTTTCTCTTTCATCTCAATTAACGATATTTTCGACACAATTTTAATACAAGTCAATGTTGCCACATCCACCAAGTGAATCGAGTTGTCGAAGCTTTCAATTTAGCTGGCTCGGAAAAACAAATGCGGAGAAACAACCATTAAATCATCAGTATGAAATATTTTGTTGCTCGACACCGACTTTGGCTTTGGATGCTATTTATAGAAATCGGCCAAAGGAAATCCATTGAGGAAGTGGCGTTTTTTTATAGGTCTTATTCTAATCGACGCCGCGGTGTCGATGATTTCATTCATGACCGTAAACAAAGCACACAACATTAAATGAATTAGTCTTGTTTTTGTTTTCCGTAATCGAAATGTCTCACTGATTTATTAATACCATCGGAATCAACACCCATCTCAATTGTGCTACTGACTTTTTTTGCCATGAACTATATATATTTTTCTTCTTCTTCTCTCGCTTCATTTAACTGTCATGTCACACAAAGATACACAACATTCGAATATGACGAATTAAGTGATCTGAATAGGCTGAATTCTGAAAGAGTTGAATAGATTTTTAAACATTATTCCAAGCGGCTGTGTGGTGTCAATAAGTTTTCGCGACTCTTTAATGCCGAGTAAAAGCGTGCGCGCATACGTGTGAGTGTGCGTATGTGTGAGATAGCGAGCAAGTGAAAAATAACAACGTAAAACAAGAGATGTAATAAACAAAACGGCCGCAGCAGCATAAAAAACGAAAATCTGAAGCAGGCCTAGTACAAGACATGCAGACAGCAGACAATGTTTATTATACATATATTAAAATGATTAACGGTAACTGAAAGCACTACATAAATCTTTCTAATTATAAATTGCCATATTCTAGATGTTTTAATTGCATTTTTTTTCCTTCTCTCAATGAAATGCAGATAAAAACATCTATATAGAAATATGTGACTCCATTTTGTGCGCACTTTTTCTCAGTATCTCTCCATAAAACCACCAAGTGTCTACATGTGCTAATCGTGAAAAATGTCATTGTAAAAATATAGACTAAGTGAGATGGAGAGGAAGAGAGTGAGCGAGAGGCGATAGACGAAAGAAAAAGCTGAGTGAAACGTCTCTAAGATTGGAAATGAGCGTGTGTGCATGGCCAACGCACATCAAATCAAGTGATTCATTTCGATTTAATATTTTTTCTTTTTTCTTTTCATTTCCGTTTTCTTCACTTCGTTGCTTCTCCTCGGTTTGTTCACTCTTTTGGTGTTATTGCGCGGCTAATTTAAATGAAAGCATCGACAAAAACACACATCACCAATGATGTACGCATATCGAAATGATGATAATTAAATATAATGTAAGAATCGACAGATTGAATACGAATGTCGAAGGAGGAAAATTTAGCGGGGCGTGCGTAAATAGGCAGCTCACACACGCAATTTACGGGAAACATTTGACGCACAAATGGTGGCGCACTCTTTTGTGAGTGTGCCAGAGCGCTTCTATGTACATTATTTTTAAGCTGTTTGATACCTTATATTTTTGTGTGTTGCTTTCAGTGCGAAAATTTAATGTAGTGCAGAAAGTTGGCCACAAGTAGATTAAAACCACGCATATAATGACTGCATGCTGTCTTTTTAATGTAATAAATTTATTGGCGAACGAAGGCACTTGGCGATTTATCTGTGGTATGTGTTTTTTTGTCGTTGGTTTGTTCATTTGTTCGTTCTGGCGACTCATAGTCACACAAACTCTTTGGATGTTTGTTTATTTGTGCATCGTTTATTTTTTTAAATGCGTGGAACGAAGCTTCTGCAAATTTAACAACTTAATCAGTACGTACAATGTGCATTATACCGTCATTCCGGATATCACTCGAGGTGAGTGCATCGCATGAACGTATTGGTTGTCGTTGTTGTTGTTGGGACGCTCGTATGCACAGACATGAATGAATAGATAAATGAAAATTGTGCTTGATCACAAGAGAATATGGGAACACACACACAAACCAAACAGCCGAAGCAAGTGAACCGTGTGTCGTCCCCTTGAATGACTCACTACCATTAATCAAATCGTTAATTTTTGTGTTGTCCGCATTTGACACTTCTGACAATCTAATTAAATATTACTATCAACTAACATTACACTCGTATGGCTATCTCTCTCTTTGTATGTGTGTGTGTGTGTGTGTGAGTGACCAGTTCTTCATTTTTTCAAAATTTTCTCCTTTAATCGTGCGCGATGACTTTACGAAACGAAAGAAAAAAAACTAATTTTACAAATGATTTTTTTTTTCAGCTGCAATTTCCCTGGATGAACAATTTGCCGTGTGTTTGTGTTTTTTTCTCTGTGTCTTTTAAATCGTGTGGTGTGGCTTACCTTGGCAGAACTCTCAAGTGGATTCCAGTAAACAGCGATCGCATTGTGTGATACTTCTTCGATGCATCCCACTAAACCGACGGAATTCTTTGTATCTGCAAATGAAACAAGAAACGAAAAAAAAAAATAAACAAACAAATCGAAAAGAGAATAAGAAAATAATTATCATGTTGAGTATGGCAAGTAATAAGAAACCATTCAAACGGTTACGTCGCCTCGAATTTGATTTTTAATTTCCACCTGTTTCACGTCACAACTAATGCATACCACATATTATTTTTTTTTTTAGTCGACATTACGATCTACAATTGTCATACGGGGTTTTGTGCGCGCCATTTGCTTTCAATTATGAATCTAATTGATTGGTGGAATAAAAGCCATTTAATGGCACGAGCCAATTGGAATACAAACACATGTATAACCTTCTAAGCCGATGCCAACAAGAAAAAGAGTGGTTTTTCTTTGTGTTAACGGTAAAATTGGTTAGAATATACACCGAATTTCTTTTTCGTCGGTCGAAAGCAAACTAAATTGCATTTGAATCTGTATTGGATTGCGCTGCTGTAGATCCACTAATTGCTGCATTATTCGCTGCTGTCTTCGTTATTATAAACAAATGACATTGCAGAAAAGGAAAGAGACACACGCAAAAAACATACACACACACACACATAATTCGCTTTTGTGGTGCACAAGTTGTGTGTCTTAACACCGAATAGATGTTTAATCCAGATAAAAGTTGGCGATGCCAGGTATCTATTGGGTCTGGGAATTAGTTTTGTCGATTTTTTTAAATTTTCAAACATTTATTTGAATACCAAAATGAAATTACATTTCAATCAAAATATTGTCCATCGGAAGCGATGACCTTCTGCCACAATGTGGGCAATTGACGGATGCCTGCCTTAAAAAATTCCTCATCTTTTGAGGCTATAAATGCATCGAGCCAATTTTGGATTTCTTCAACTGAAGAGAACCGCTCTCCGTCCATATGGTTTTGCATCGATCGAAACAAATGGTAGTCGGAAGGAGCCAGATCTGGGCTATACGGGGCGTGAGCCAAAACTTCCCATCCGCTATTTTCCAAGTAGTTTTTGACCGATTTCTCAATGTGTGGCCGAGCATTGTCATGTAGGAAAATCAATGTCTCTTTTCTGGTCTCCCATTTCGTGCGTTTTTCTTTGATTGCTTGTTTCAAACGTATCAATTGTTGTCGGTAGAAAGGCCCATCGATGGTTTGACCACTTCTCAGCAGCTCATAATACACCACTCCCTCCTCATCCCACCAAATAGACAGCATTACCTTGTCGCCGTGAATTTCTTGTTTTGGCTGTGATGTTGCTGGTTGGCCGGGCTTAACATACGATGCTTTGCGCTTGGGGTTATCGTAATGAATCCATTTTTCGCCACCAGTGACAATTCGATACAGAAAACCTCTTTTTTTGTGCCTAGCGAGCAGCATTTCGCAAGTCACCAAACGCCTTTCAGCTTGAGCCGGCGTCAATTCATGTGGTACCCAATTTGACAACTTGCGAATGAAACCAAGGGCCCTTAAACGATATCCAACAGTGCTTCGGTCAACATTCAATGCTCTGGCAAGCTCATCTTGAGTTTGATTCGAATCTTCATCGAGCAATGCCTCCAATTCCGCATCTTCAAACTTTTTTGGCTGGCCGGGACGTTCCTTGTCTTCCGTGCTAAAATCACCACTTTTGAACCGTGAAAACCACCGTTCACATGTACGTTCCGATGGAGCATGCTCACCATAGGCTTCCACCAACATTCGATGCGCTTCAGCCGCAGTTTTCTTCAAATGAAAGCAAAAAATTAATGCTTGCGGGAAATGTTGCTTTTTCGGTACAAAATTTGACATATTTAAGGCGCAAAAAAAAATGTTTATCCAAACTTCGATGAAATGATAGATGATGATTTTTGTAGTTTGACACTAGACCACTCATGTGAAAAAGAAAAAAGTATTGCCCGATACAACCATGCAAAGTTACGCCATCTTTTGAAAAATCGACACGATTAATTCCCAGACCCAATATACACGTCCCTTCATTCAGCGGTGTATTGTACAAATGCAAATAATGTGCGAAGATACACCGTGAGTGCGTACCACTTACCAGAGCCAACTGTGTCATTACTCGCAGCGAATATGCATACGATATGCATAGATATGGAGTGTGTGCATGAGCTAGCGGGCGAGCGGGCGCGCGTGCAACAAAAAGTGATACAGACGAAAAGCGACGTTTACATTTGCTGAAGAAAATTTGATCTTATCGATTCAAAAAAAGAAGGAAAAAATGAGCGAGGCAAACCAATATAAACAGTAAAGAAACAGTATTATTATTAAAGACGAAATGAAACGAAACGCAAATCACATTTAATTGTAACTTATTGAGTGGATCTTTCATTATTGTTGAACGAATGCAAAATGAAATGTACGGACATAGGATACGCATACAGAGCGAGAGAGAGAGAGAGAGAGATGGAACGTGAGTGAATGTATGAGGCTTTCTCATGTGTGTGAGTGAGCGTGTCTCTCAGTTCGCTCTCTTTTTTTGTCATTCATATGCATATTGCAAATTGAGTGTGCGCTCATTCGCGCACAGTTTGGTCAATGCGACGCGATGGGAACTATTTGCAACAATATTTATTCCACTTATTAAAAATTGAAATTTTTATAATTATTATTTGTGTAGTGTCTTTCGAAATTATCGTTAAACACATGTGTGCGTGTTTTTGATTTGCTCGTTGTTGTTTCGTTGTTCAGTTTTTATTTTTCTCTTCATCTCTTCTTTTCGTTCGATTTTCCTTTCACTCATCGATTTGTGTGAACAACCATGAACCGTGGATAATTTCTGTTTGTGGCTGATGTCTGTTGTCGCCCAACCGTGTGAGTGCGACAAATAGTAAACAAAAACGCAAAATTTTGTAGAAAAAATGATTTAAATAGCTATTAGCTAGCTATCAGGTTCAAATGGCACAATTATGCCACAAACATAAAAATGATAAACACCGACCCACCGCCATCATTTTCCCCGCCAATGACAAGTGACGGCAACGGAGACAATAGCCACGTAATCTGTTTGTTTGTTTTTTTCTTCATTCAAATGGCATAAATAACATTTAAACGGTGTGTTTATTGTGTTTTTTTCGTTAGAAAATCCACTTCCCTATTCCGCAGGGGAACATGTCAATGCACCGAAACATTCGACCAACTCATCATTGATCAGGTCGTTCGGTTTTGTTTTGTCTATTCCGTATAATTGGCCAGCGCAAGCACAATGACCGTACAAAAGGACGCGCACAACTGATACATACATTCGACATCTAACGGCATCATTGAACTTCTGAATGAGCGAACGTGCACTGTCATGAACTTTTGAGCGAACATGTGTATGTGTGTATACATGTATGTGACCGTTCACGCTCGTTCGCGCGCGCGCACACATTTTCGAATGCGATTGCGGAATTTTCGGTTGAGAAATGGAAAAAAAAGCGAACGTAAAACTCGAATACGTCAAACAAATAAACAAACAAGCCGATAAAAGCGATTGGATCGAGGAAACAACAGGTAGAATGATGTCGCACAAATATTGTCGCCGCATCAGATGAGATGGCCCACGTTGACAATGAAATGTGCCGTTGAGTGTAACAGAGACGAAACAAATGAATATATAGCAAAATCATAAATAGAAAGAGCAGATCGTTTCGAGGTCGTAGTTTATAGATTGGTAGGTTTGTGGCTTGATAGCATATCCATATATTTATTTAGTTTTTGTCTCATCTCTGTTGTATCGTGCAATTTTGCCATATCGATCGATCGATCGAAATGATGGTCGCGAAATCGACTAAATGATATTCAGCTGTGCGTTTTACAATCACATAGCCTTGATAATGCACATTCACACAAATATAAAATTCGTCTTATCGATAAATTACGGCTGTGTAGCCAGCCAATAAGGAAAAATTTTCGTCAATGTTTTAGCATCGTTGCCACCAAATGGCCCCATCGCGAGCAACATTTCATAATAAACGTAAAGAAACCAAACCAAAGCAAAACACCAATTTTATATTCATTCCGTTGTGAGAGAGGAAAAAAAGAAGACAGCATAGCATAGCACACAATGGCAACCGTAGTTCAAGTTTGTTACTTTCGAACGTGACGATTCAATATCTGCAATCGATCTCAATGCTCTTTTTTTGGCAAGTCAATTACTTAAACATTGCTTCGAGTTACATTTTGTGTGTGTTTGTCAACAAAAGATGCTCACAATCCGAAGCATATGTGAAAACGTTGACAAAATTAACAATCGCATTTTATGCGAAATGATCACGTCATCGATTTGAGCAATTGCCCAAGTGTACATGTCATTCTCGGAAGATTGTTTTTAATGAACGAGATAGAATAAACGGTGCCAATTTATATGGTTTCCGAATAATTCTCGAGTATAATGAGCTTGGGTAATTACAGTTTATTCGTGTTTAATTATCACAATGCCGAATAAATGTGATCTGGTCAAAGGAAATTTACATAGATGCATACATATTGGATGCAATGCACGGAAATCGTTCGAAGCGGTTATTTGTCATAGAAAATGCAATGTACAGCTAGGCATCGTTTCGGTTCCGTTATCAAATTGGTCATTTTTATAATCGGTATTTTGCGTGCACCTGCAAGAATGGCCAATAAAATGCATTCAAATTGCGTACTCTCTTTGATGTGGCACAGCTGTATGCTGTGCACCGCAGTGCATTGCTGGGCCATTTGAATTAAATAGAAACGCCGTTTGAATCATAAAATTTTTTACCACACGAAACAAAAAAGATGCACACCGCACCGAGAAGAATTTGAAGAGATAGAGAGAAAAAAAACGGCACAGTGTCTCCCATTTAATTGCTATGGCTGTTTAATTAAATTATATTGGTTGCAATTGGCAAAATCATTCTTTTGCTATGGCAATTTTTTTTCGCGCATCTTTCGTGTTCCAGTAAATAGTTGGAAGATGTGTGTGTGTGTGCGCGCGGTCATGTAATAAAGTCGCTATTTCAGTTTATGGCTAATGCACGATTCCACCTAATGCCAGCCCATTCCAATGATGATCATTCGATGAATTTTTCCGTTCATAATTTTCTTGGCTTGTGGTTTGCCCATCTCCGCTTGTTGGTTTGCCTCCTTTTTTGGTTTTTGTTTCGTGTGTGCATTTTATTATCAAAATGTCATACTTTACCTGCATCTAATATTCTCTGTTTGACTGAATGCTGCCTGCTGTGCCAAAATTGCCATGCTTTGATTTCATCTTCGGGACTCTTTTCTTCGCGGAACATCAGCATAATAACACTCTGCAAACGAAAATCACCACATGAAACGAAATGAAATAGTTGTTGTTTTTTTTCGTTAGTTTTGTTATTGTTGTGTGTATATTGCTACAAAATTTAACTAAACACATTAAAATGAAAATGATCGCCCGGAAAAAAAATATATCGCCTAAGTATGTTTGAGTGGACACTTAATTTATTTAATCATAAATTGTCAGATTATTTCGCAATGTGCGATAAAGCCCCGACAATTATCTGATTGTAAAAGAGCGAAGCACACAGAGATCAAATTTGAAAAATCCAGTAGATGAGGACTGAATAGCGGAGAAAAAGATGTTTATACGTCGATTATAATATGCATATAACATTAAGAAGGCTTGCTTTCGATTCGCTTACGGTTGTGTCATTTTAATTGTAATTTTTCAATTGGAATTCAATTGTTTGATTGGTTTTTTTTTCTTCTGTTGAATTGAGATCAAGCGCTAAAAAGCAGGAACAGAAATGTGTGTGATAGTGAAATCGGTGAGTTAAACGGTGTGCAGGCCTTGGAATGAGTTTGGTCATAAATTTTTCATTGACGACATCAAACAAACATGCGCAAATCCAAACCATTTCAAATTTATGCAAAATATTGTCGTTCTAATTGATAATGGCGCCTTTTTTAATTTTCGTTGAACAATCACACATACACGCACACACACACACGATCTGAGTGAGCGAATTCTTTTTCTTCTCCATATACTGATTGTGGAGTGTGAACGCTTTAGCGAAACATTCGATATACAATAAGCAGCAACAGCAATCAACAATCATTAGCCGCATTATGATTTGATAATCGTATTAGTTATTTCGGATTTAAAGCATATGCCGCAATATAGTGCGAGAGCAAATCGAAAGCATGTACTCCCATAATAATAAATTTGAAGTACACATATTTGAATGTCTCGCCAATAACAAGTGTCTTTGAAATGACTTGTATGCATGCAACAAATCATTTTACATGGAACAATTTTATATTCATGCGGTTTTTTTTCTCTTCTCTTCTCTCGCTCGCTTATTTGCTTCGTTGTTTCGTTTGCTACTAATTTGTTACCGATCAATAGCGACACAGCAAACGAATTTGAGCGGGAAAAAAACACATGCACCAATATTAGGGTAGATTGAGTGATTGGGGAACATTTCTGGACTGGTATGTGTGACGGTGTTTGAAGTGCACCAATCCAAAATGCATTCACATCACAGTAGGTGCGATCTGATCGATACGGCGACCGATTATTTGTTTGTGCCCATACAGCAACACTTTATTCTCGCCCCGTGTGTATGTGCGCGTTCGCGTTTGCGCTCACTCACATTAAACGCCTGTACGCTGAGTGAAAAATCATTTCAGTGGCTGTAATTAATATCGTATTTGAATGCGATAACCATTTAGCTGTAAAACTGTTTAAACCGTATGTGATATTATTGTGAATTATTATTTGCCAAGTGGAGAGTAAAAAAAATTGTCTTGTAATATTAATTTATGCACGTGCAACAAGCAAGCGAGCAAGCAGTCAGTAAGTATGGAAATCAAGCTGACTCGCGGGCTGATTGTGTGCGTGCGTAATGGCAAAACGACACGACGAACACGACAGTGGAAAATGAATACGATAGCAGCAAAAAAAAAAAAACGGCTCATTCTGTTGCTTCATCTAGGCAAAGTGTGTAAGTGTTATGTATAAATTAAAGAAATTATAGCATGAATGAGAATAATCATTTGAGGTCGCTATGTATTGCGGGAAAATAGGAAAAAAAACACACACGCATACACTGCAGCAGCAGCGTGCAACGCACACGGATCACGGTTAAGAAAATTTGTCGCCGGCGATCGAATTTGATGTTCGTGCAAGTGTGTCAACATGGCTCTCTACGGCAACAATATGGAAAAAAAAGCAGCGCACCAGAGTGCTCTTTCCCCTCTCGACAGTAGGATATGTGATTGAATAAGATACATGGCGGTATAAAGTGTTTCATGTGTGTCTCTGATAAATGAAACGAAACTTCTTTTTTTTTAATCAAATTAAATGGCTAAATGCGAATAAAAAGCTCATTCAAGTCAACAAAAAAAAGAGTAGTGAAACCACACACTTGTACTGATTTATGACGGTAATAAAACGGCGAATGCCGATAGAGAAGCGAAAAAAAAGCGAAACACAATAAACTTGCGCATTAAATTAACGACTAAAATCTATTAAGCTCAAATAGATTGATCATAGCCACACCTGATTAGAATGATTTGTTGGCATTGCTTATTATTTGTTTTCACCATTTTCCATCGCTACCCCAAAACCGTCGATTTGATTCATGGCACTTTCATCACCAGGCATACACATTAAGTGCATCCTGAATGTGATTGGTGGCAAAAGTGAGGGCCGAAAACATCGCTTGGCGATTCGATTCAAACAAGTGTTTTTCTGCCTCAATCGAGACATTTTCAGTGTTCGGACGCAAAACACACCGGAGCCCACAGGAAATGGAATTCACTTAATCGAAATCAAAAATTGAAAACCTGCACATGAATCAATCGGATTAAATTGACACACACACATACACACATGGCCAATTGGCGGTTGTTGGTTCGTGGAACGGAAAAGTTTATGGGAACAATCACAAGAAATTGAACAATCACAAGAACAATCACAGTCGTGAACGTGGGCCGTTGTCAATAAATGTGCAATACATCATATGTACCTTATGTGCTGTGTTTTTTTTGTGTCGTTACTACATCTTTGGCTGTCATCGGTAAATTCGGTTTATTTCGTGCCGTTTATTTTTTTTCTGTTTCTTCTTTGCATTATATTTCACAGTTTACATATTTACAACTAGTCAAACGCTCACACACCGCTCAGACCTAAGCTCCGATAACGGCCGTTAATATAATGAAACAAATGTCCGCTATTGTCATGTAAACAACTGATTCTATCTCGATCGTCAAGCGAGATCTCTGGGCAAACTGAGCCAAATGCATAACCATTGTTCCCAGTAGCTCCGAATTGTTTTGTCTTTTTCTTCTCTTGGTTCACCGTTGTGTTGTTTGATCGGCATGTGTTTCGTTTTTCCTTCGTTTCGTTCAATTTCCGTGGCAAATACCTGGCAACATTAAATTAATTGATAAAATACGCAAATGTGATCTAACAGTGCATTACATTTTTCGGGCGTATCGAGCGTTCAAATGGTACAAGGTAGATTTATTGAACGGTACACACAAATTAAAGGCGAATATTTTCGATGCATTTAAAAACACCTTATGCCAACTGGCTGATCTGAAACACACACAGTACATGTACAGAAGAATTTACTATGGCAACCCACGCAAAGCTGTGCGCGCGCACACTCTTGCGCCACTGTAAACCGCGATGCAAACACATTTTATCTGGTTGCACCGTATTTTTATTTCACTTTACAGATTTATTTCTTGATTTGTTGTTGTTGTTGTTCGAAAATCAAAATTAAATAAATTTTATAAATTGCATCGAAAGCAGTAAACTGTCAAAAAATTGTACGCGCGCATAAATTGCCAATTCAATAAACGGCCAGAAGAAAACAAAAGCACCAAATCGAATAGAGCCAACACATACGACGTGGAAACGAACGTTTGTGTGTTGCGATTATAGAAGGCTTTCGTAACGCAACCAAAATGTAATAAGTGCGCTGGCTGCTTTGTTTTGCTTTTCCGTCTGCTGTATCTGCAATGCCAAAACAATGGTATCAATTTTCTATTACAACGATTTAGCCGACTAAGGCCGAATAACGTGTGCTCATAGATATAGATTAATCCGTGTGTGATTTTGGTTTTGGTTTTTTGTTTTTCATTCTGCGTAAAAAACAATGCCGAATTCCAGAACCGCTTGGCCGGCACAATTCATCGCAATCCGGTTGCCTTGTTTCGCACTCGAGCTTAAAATAATATTTTAATCAAAGTGGAATAGACGATCGGACGCAGTTGGAATTGGCAAAATTTACATGTGCACCAATTTTTCAACTCGGTGTGTGTATCTCAGTGTGCCAAAGCGAAAAATTCAAGTCGTTTCCTGTTATATTTAGATAAAGAACTACGCGAAATTACTTGCGGTTCCAATTTTTTTTTTCGCCATGGCTTTCAATTATTTATAATCTATCACAATTCCGTCGTGGCGTTTGTTGTTGCTTTCTATCTCTCTCTCTCTCTCTTTCTCTCTCTCTCTCTCTCCATAAGTCAAACTATGTATGCCCAATATGTGTAGCATTTCTATCAGTTGCTATCAAAACGCCGACGTACGGCAAGTCAGTGGCTTTGGTAATTTGTATGAGGCGTAAAAATGTAGTAAACACGATGTAAAAAGAGTTAAAAGGAACGAATGAAAGAAACAAAGCCCATTTTAAATGCTTATCAAAACAATACGGACAAAATTATACAGTTCTCGGTGCGATGTGTTTTTGTCGCTGCTTTTCTGCTTGTTGTGCTTTTTTTCGCTACTTCTTTCCTTCGTCGTACGGTGAATTTTCTACACTTTGAGTGCCTTTGTCAGTTCACATGTTGTTGCAATTTTATGACAAACCGCATAGATATTTATGTATGGAGTGTGTGTGTTTTGCCCATTTAATGTTGGAAAATTAATTGAAATTTAGAAAATAGATAATTGCATGCTGTGTGGTAAATGCGTTCTCTATCAAACAAGTGGGCTTTAGCAAATGCTCTCAACTAATTAAAAATTATTCGCTTCCAATTGGTTTTTTCGTAATTTTTTTTTTCTCCATTCGTTCATTTGTCTCTCTCCATCTTCTTCTATGCGAGTTCTTTTCTACCGGCCATCGAGCCGAGATGTTACAAAAATTCTTCAAGCGGCTTGAACGAAACTTCCAAATCTGACATTACGTAAGTGATTTGGCTTAAAATGAACCAAATCAATTGAATGTGCCAACCGACAGTTGTTTAGCATTCATCTGGATTAAATCGAAACTATTTAATTCGTATCGTAAGTGAGAATTTAACATGAACACGTATGTAT